GGGAGAGGGAGAAGCAGGCTTCCCGCCCAGCAGGGAGCCCGATGCGGGGCTTGATCCCAGGACCCTGGGATCATGACCTGAGCCGAAGACAGACGCTTAACGACTGAGCCACCCAGGCGCCCCAATAATAATAATTTAAAAAGTCACTGATCCATCAAAATAATTTTGTGTTTCAGGTAATTTTAAAAGGTAAATTCTTTTTCGTTTTTAATATTCCTAAATCATGCCTTTCAATAGAAATTTGGAATCAAGATAATAGGAAGCACCTCTACTACCTAGATTATGGTCTCTTGTCCACTCCACATTAAAAGGAACAAGAGCCCTGAAGAAATGGATAATTCCAGATCTCGGGTAGGGAACATACAAGGTGAGTCCCAATTATCTTCTCATGCCAAAAGGAAGCTTTTGAAAATTAATAGGGTCATGTTAAAAGGACACACAGAAGCCACCCTGAAAGGGTCACTCCTATTAACAATTTCAGCATGAAAAAGAACGATTATAGTAGATTTAACACAGCAAATCAACTGAATACACACAAAGAGAAAGCTGGAAATTTAGTATCACTATTAAAAGAAACGCCTTGGTAAGGGAAAAGAATTAAGCATTTATTCTGTCTTTCCAGTAGGAACTGTACTTCAGAGTAACTAATGGGTCCAATTGATGAGGGTGAAGCTCCACTTTACAGAATAATGCCAGCTAATAATGTAAAAAGAATGACAGAATCGAAAAATCATCATTCCACAACCCCTAAAGCAAGTGCTGATTTAGGCAAGCATTCTCAAATGACTATAAACTATATAATGCCAAAGTAACACCACATAGATAACTTTCAGGTCGCAAAAGGTAAAACAGAACAGCAATGGAGGGGCAAGGGTATCATTATCCTAATTCACTGTTTAAACTTAGCGTCACCATAGCAGGTCATCCAGATGTTATGTGTGTCTCGATGTGAAGCTATATGAAGTACACAATGTGATCCATGATGTATTCTAGCCTAATATTTGACTTGAACCTAGCCTTTGAAACTTGCTTCCAGTTTACAGGAACTATAAGAATGGTAAGAACAAGCCAACACCACCATGAAGGAGCAACAAGACAAATCCCAAAGATGTGACATTTTGCAAAACAAATGACACAGTCCTGTCCACAAGTCAGTGTCACGAAACAAAATGGGAAAGAGTATGAGTCATGTGAAAAGAGACTATGGGCCATGTCTAGTGCCATACTGGACCCCAGTTTGAACAAACCAATTGAAATTTCAAGGACATTTTGGGGGCAACTGGGGAAATTTAAATACAGTCTGATTATCAGAGAAAATGAAAATGTATTGTCACAAAAATACATATCTAGTTAAGCAAACAGATTAGAATACAGTAAGCACAATACACTACTTTGGTAAAACTACTTCAATGCATATGTGTGTGCTTAGAAAAATATCTGGAATGATAAACACTAATGTGTTAAGAGTGGTGATTTCTGGGGGCGCCTGGGTGGCTCAGTTGGTTAAGCGACTGCCTTCGGCTCGGGTCGTGATCCTGGAGTCCCGGGATCGAGTCCCGCATCGGGCTCCCTGCTCAGCGGGGAGTCTGCTTCTCCCTCTGACCCTCATGATCTCTCTATCTCATTCTCTCTCTCAAATAAATAAATAAAATCTTTAAAAAAAAAAAAAAAGAGTGGTGATTTCTGAGTAGCAGGAATGTTTTCATTTTCTTAGTTTTGGTTTTCTGCATTTTATAACTTGCTACAACGTGCATATCCTGCTTTTATAGTAGAGATTAATAAATAATAAGAAGGCTTCAATAGGCCATCTTCCAACTTTTGGAGGCAGCATGTCATAGTGTAAAATATTCTGGACAAAGACAGGCCATCAAGATCTAAATTTGGTTCTGTCACTGACCATTGGGCAAATAGCCCAACCTCTATAGGTTTAGTTTCTTCATTTGTTAAACTGAAATACTTCACAAGTAAGGATAAATAAAATAATGGTGAAACTTTTTATAAACTGTGAAGTATGACTGTGACATTAGGTGTTGCTGTTGTTATTAATGATAGAGTCTGTAGAACTATGAGTCAACCAGCCACCGTAATTCAGACTTCTTCTGTACTTTTGAATTACACTACTAAAATGTCTATTTCAGCCCTGAAATATGTGAAATATTGCTGGCTTAGGGTGGCATCACAAAACTTATGCCACGCCCCTCCATCCCCCCCAGCCAATCCCTGATGGCAAAGCTGTTTCCTAGATGACGTAACTTTAGTGTATCACAACAATGCCACATAAGGAACTTCTGGGGTAGAAAGCCAGCAGTTTGCCTTCACTGGGAAAGCCTACTGTTTTAGCTTTCCTCTGAAACATTTTCACAACGGATTCACTTTTGTCAGGACATCTACTGCTTCTAAGTTCCACGGTCGCTGCTTCTTCTGAATGCTAGTCTCTTCACTTTTCATTATGATTTTCCTTCTTTTCTCTTCCAGTTCTCTTCAGGAACTTTGGCTTTCATAACCATTACCAATGAGAGTGTCAGGTTTTTTTTTTAATATTTAATTTTTAAATTTTTAAAAGTAATTTCTATCCCCAACATGGGGCTCAAACTCACAATCCAAAGATCAAGAGTTGCATGCTCCACTGATTGACTTAGCCAGGCACCCCAAGTGTTTTTGTTTTTGAATCAAAGGCAAACAGAACGATCCCACTGTTACATTTAATCCTGCACATGCTCCAGTTTTTGTTTATTAGTGACTAGGATTCAAGGCCTGAATCTTTAATTCCTGAGAAAGCCTGTTGATTCTTTGAACACCAAGGTTTCCAGAAGGCAGGCCTCCAGATAAATTAAGTGTTAATGTATATGTTTCTAACATGGTTACTGGTCAGAAGATAATCATGCATCACAGAGGATCTTTTCTATTTTCCTAATTTCAGCTTTTAAACCACCAAATTAAATCCTTTAAGTTATTAAAAGTTAACACCTCTTTTAATTTGTACCCAATAACAAAAGGACAGCAATAATCAATTTGGCAGAATAGATGAACACATTTACAATACCTTTTAAAGCTTCCGTTTCTATGTCTACTAATGGCTTTCCCACATAGGCAATATCGTCTAGATTATAATACAGTTTTTTAATGACTCCATCATAACGACTAGTGATAGTAACAGAAGCTTTATCACTTTGAACTTCACAGATGCTATCAAACTGAGACACTGTATCTCCTTCTTTTACATACCTAAAAGAAAAAGACACAAAACACTTTTACATGAATAATTATAAGTATATAATACTAATCATCCTAAAAATGTAAATGCTACACTGAATTAGATCAGTATCCATCTAGTACATCATTTAGTCCCAGATGGTGCACCGAAGAATGTTTCAGAAAAAAACTATAAATGCTTCCAGAATCTCCTTGATGTATCCCCAAGAAATACTAAAAATTTAAAAACCATTCATAGATCTAAAGTCCAAAAATTTAATTACACTTTCAGGTGTTATGCCTCACCCATTTCTTGGGAGAAATTCTAAAAATATGTTTTTAAAATGTTATTTCCTTTTATTATTTTATATTAGCCTTCATCAAACTTTAAGGTTTGTCTATTATTCTATAATTAAGTCCAAAAATTGATATCTTAAATGCATATTCTTTGTAATTCCATGAATTTTGGATTGAGTTCTCTCAGTCTTTCCTTCTAGAATTATTTTAATCTGTCCTTGTATATGAGTCCCTTTTTCTCCTTAATCATCTTAGGTATGCTTTATAAGGCTCTTCTAAATAATTTTTTTTTCTCCAGGTTTTATTTATTCATTTGACACAGAGAGAGAGAGAGAGCACAAGCAGGGGGAGTGGCAGACAAAGGGAGAGGGAGAAGCAGGCTCCCCACTGAGCAGGGAGCTCAGTAGCTTGACGTGGGGCTCAGTCCCAGGACCTGGGGATCATGACCCAGCTCCCCAAGACAGACAACCTACTGAGCCACCCAGGCACCCCAGGCTCTTCTAGATATTCTTAGCAAACAGAACAGGCGGAATGGACCAAATCTGAAATACAACATATAATTTTTATTCTAATACCATTCTTGATGTATCTGGCACATTTCTGACTTATTACCACCATTCTTCATTAAGATAATTGTTCAGTCATTCTTATTCCTTGTCTTCCTGTTGTAATCAGTTCTCAGTCCAAATTAAACATCACCCATGACATAGCAACTAGGTTTAAAAGCACATATAGGAGACTTACACTTCTAGAATGGTTGACTAAGGACCTCTGGAATTCTGCTCCTCTATAAATGCAACAAGTATACTGGCAAAAGTTGTTAAAAACTGACTTTTTCAGAATTCTAGAAATTACAATAAGGCTTACAACAATCAAGAAAGACCTATGCTGAACCTCACTAAAAACAGCTAGTTTTATTTATTTATTTTTAAAGATATTTTTTATTCATTTGAGAGAGAGAGTGTGTGAAACGGCGAGCACAAGCAGGGAGGAGGGCAGAGGGACAGGGAGAGAGAGAGGCAGACTCCTCGCTGAGCAGGAAGCCCAACATGGGGCTCAATCCCAAGACCCTGAGATCATGACCTGAGCTGAAGGCAGACACTTGACTGAGCCACCCAGACACCCCCTAGTTTTATTATTTTCACTTCTACTCTCATTCTTCTTTCCCCAGCTCAGCATTAGTCTTGAAAATCAGCAGCCTTACTGCCATAGTAAGGGCAGACCCAAGTTTGGAGTTCCACAAAAAGCCAAACTCCCAGAGAACTGTCACTGTTTGAAATGTTGGGCAGCTCTCTGGAAAAATTCCATCCACAGAGCTTATTCTTGTTTGACCTGACTCAGCTCCCTCAGGGTGTTTGCTGAAGACAGTCCACAGCAATTTAAAATTATGGCTAGCTGAGGCAATGATAAAAGTTAGGGCAAACAAGAGGTTCTTAAAAGGAAGACCTGTGTAATAAGGTGTTCATATATCTTACCACATATCTGCCACATTATTTCATGTAAAATATCCAGTTGTCAACAAAAAATAACAAGACACGTAAAGAAACAAAGTATGGCCCGTGTAGAGAAAAAAAAGCAGTCAATGGAAACCATCCCTGAGGATGCCAGATGTTAATTAACAATAATTAGTGTTAGTAATTAACTTTAATTAAAGTTAAATTAAATCAACAATTAAATATTCAAAGAACTAGGGGCACCTGGGTGGCTCAGTCGTTAAGCATCTGCCTTCGGCTCAGGTCATGATCCCGGGGTCCTGGGATCAAGCCCCATATTGGGTTCCCTGCTCGGTGAGAAGCCTGCTTCCCTCTCTCCCACTCCCCCTGCTTGTGTTCCCTCTTTTGCTGTCTCTCTCTCTGGCAAATAAATAGATTAAAATCTTAAAAAAAAAATAGATAAATATTCAAAGAACTAAAGGAAACCATATCTAAACAATTAAAGGGACACAGGAGAAAATGATGCCTCATCAAATAAAGAATGTCAATAAAAAGATAGAATCTTTGAAGAAATAATGGCTAAAAACTTCCTAAACTTGATGAAAACATTAATGTACATATGCAAGAAGCTCAACAAAGTCCAAGCAGTATAAATCCAAAAAGAGCCACACCTAGACACATCATAACCAAACTGTTGAAAGACAATGAGAAAATCTTAAAGTCAGCAAGAGAAAACCACTCATCAAGTACAGGAACTCTTAAAAGACTAACAGATGGTTTCTAGTCAGAAACCATGGCCAAAAGGTGGTTGAATAACATACTCAATGTGCTGAAAGAAAAGAAAGACTGTCAGTCAAGGATCTTATATCTAGCAAAGCTATGCTTCAAATAATGAAGGAGAAATAAATACATTATCAAATAAATTAAAGCAGAATTTTTTAAAAAAAGATTTTATTTATTTATTTGACAGAGAGAGACACAGTGAGAGAGGGAACACAGCAGGGGGAGTGGGAGAGGGAGAAACAGGCTCCCAGCTGAGCAGAGAGCCCCATGTGGGGCTTGATCCCAGATCACGACCTGAGCCAAAGGCAGACACTTAACCGACTGAGCCACCGAGGTGCCCCAAAGCAGAATTTTTTTTTTTTTTATGTTATGTTAGTCACCATACAGTACATCATTAGTTTTTGATGTAATGCTCCATGATTCATTGTTTGTGTATAACACCCAGTACTCCATGTAATACGTGCCCTCCTTAATACCCATCACCGGACTAACCCATCCCCCCAGCACCCTCTAAAGCAGAATTTTTGCTAGCAACCTGCCCTATAAGAAATGCTAAAAGGAGTCCTTCAAGCTGAAATAAAAGGACAATAGACAGCAACTCAAATCCACATGAAGAAATAAAGAATACTAATAAAGATAACTACATAGGTAAATATACAAGACACTATATTTTGTTTGTACCCCTTTTTAATTCTGATTTACAAAACAAGTGCATAAAGCAATGCTTTAAAAACTGTTGATGGGCTTATAACGTTTAAACATGTGATACATATGACAATAATAGCAAAAAAGGAGGGAAGAAAGGAAAGAGCTATATTGGAGCAACGTTTTTAATGTACTATTGAAACTAAGTTGGTATTAATCCAAACTACATTGTTTTTTATTAAACCACAGGGCAGCCACTAAGAAAGTAACTAAAAAATATATATAGTAAAAGAAACAAGGAAATTAAAATGGTACAGTAGAAATATCTATTTATCATAACAGGAGGCACTAATGGAGAACTACATGAACAAAAACCACATAAAACATATAGAAAACAAATAGCAAAATGGCAGATATGAATCTTACTTTATCCATTACATTAAATGTAAATGGCTTAAACATGCCAAATAAAAGACATAACCTGGAAAAATGGATTTCAAAAAACGATTCCACTATATGCTATCTACAAGAGACACAAATAGGTTGAAAGTAAAAGGATGCGAAACAATATATCATGCGGGATGGGAAGATGGTGGCAGAGCAGGAGGACCCGAGGCTCATCTCGTCCCACAAATACAACTAGATAACTCTCAAATCATCCTACATACCCCAGAAATCAATCTTAAGACTAGCAGAACAAACTGTACAACTAACGGTAGAGAAGAGGCCACATCAATGAAGGTAGGATGTGCAGAGACATGGTTTGAGAAAGAAACAGATCAGCCACTGCAGTTGGGAGGTAGCTGTGGTGGCAGAGAAGGGTGAGAGACAGACTAGCACACAGGGGAGTACATGGGGAAAACTAATTCCCACAATAATTGGCTTGGAAAGTGAGAGGGGCTGGATTTCGGGAGTTCTTGCAACCAGCAGGGCTTAAAGCCTGGAGTTGTAAAGGTGAGTGGGCTTGGCTCAGAAAGAGCCTGAAGGCACTGATTGGGGCCACTGTTGGAGAGAAGGCAGGGCAAACAGCCTGCAGACATATAGCATGGAAACAGTGACCTCAAGAATATTCTGGGTCACAAGGTGGGGAGGTTATTTGTTCATCTTAGAGGACATTCCAGAGAGGCAGCATTCAGAGAGCCCCTCCAGGAACAAAGGATTTGGAAGGTGCGATTTCCCTCCCCCACCCCTCAGCAAAAGCACAGGACTACCTATGGGAGGCAGTGCAGTGCCAACACTCACTACTTAGCATGCTTACACCAAGTCCCACCACCTCCTCCACCCCATGCTCCAGTGGAACCACCCTTCCTGGTCACACTCACCTCAGTCCCAGCATGGTGGGTCCCTCTCCCCAAAAAGTCTGGCTCAAAACCCTGCCAACACCGTATCTCTCAATCTGGGAGTTTTGCAGAGCCTTGGTTCTGATAGCGATGGCAACAGGTCTCATTTCACAAGTAGACCAGAGCACACCTAGTTAAAATGCACCATAGTCAGGCCAGGGACCAAATCCTGCCCACAGCAGGCAAAGACAGCCTCTGCAGACAATGCGCCTTAAGGATGAAGTGGCTGGGATAAAACAACAGAGCATATGCAACACACACTGGAGACACTCCCAGAAGCTCCAGGCCCTGGAGAACAGGGGACACTACACGGCAGGGCACTAGAGGACCTCTTCTTCATAAGGCCATTACCCTCAAGAACAGGGGACGTAGCTGACTTTTCTAACACAAAGAAACAGACACAGAGACTTAAACAAAATGAGAAGACAGAGACATCTGACCCAAATGAAAGAACAGGAAAAGGCCATGGCTGGAGATCTAAACGAAAGAGATATAAGTAACATGCCTGATGGCGTATTTCAAGCAATAATCATAA